TGTCAATTGCATTGAACAGTTTAAGAGCACGATAAATAATATACTATTAATTTAGTATAAATTTAAGAACAATAAATTATATTCAAAAGTATTATAAATTTATAGTATAAAATAAATTAAAATTAAAGCTGAAAAGCATATTTTAGCCGAAACACATATATAAAAAGTATAAAATAACAGTTCATATTTATTCATAAAGCAAAATTAAATAACAAAAAATAAAATAAAAAATAAAAATTGTTGATTAAATTCAAGTCAGTTTAAATAGTTTGCATTTTAATGCTAAACACACAAATTCAATTAAAAATTCGGTTTAAATAAGTAAAAGTAACAATCTTAAGGGATTTCGAACAAAAATGAAACTAAATCATAAAAACCAAAGCACTAAAAAAAATATTTTATAAAAAATTTCAACTCAAATCATGGCTTTACTGCTTGAAAATCCCCAAACAGTGTATTACACAAAAAAATATGATAAAATCTCCGCCTAAAACTATGCAATGAACTAAGCAACCACACTACTTCGTTACACAACAAAGCAACCAAACACATTTAGCATAAATTTAAATATTTACTCTTAAAAAAAAATATAAAAAAATAACTTACAAGAAGCTTTAAGTTTATATAAGGCTAGTTACAAGTAACGAAGCGTAAATTTTTATGAAAAAGAAAAATATGTATAATATTACAAAACGAAAAAGAATATGTATAGCATTGTAACGCCTAAAATCCTACCACCTTACACTCGTATATTTACGTAGAACGATCGGGGCTACTTTAAATGTCGTAAACTTAATGCGTTGAATATGTGTTTTTATTACTTGCTCTGTTACAGCTATAGCAAGATAGTGTATAGAAATCAGGTTGAGGGAATTGCCTTGAGGATGTTACTGACTTTAAGAGAAAGATGACGCACAAAATTATGCAGTGAAATATATATATATGTATACTTACATATACAATCTTGAGGAAATAAAATTCACACAAGTAATTGAAAAAATTGCATTAAAAACTGCAAAATAAAATATAGGGAACACATAGCATACCGAATGATGCTATGTAGGTATGCTACATTCAACTGAAAAGTATTTTAAATTTTGTTATATTGAAAGTTTTTATTAACATAACTGATAAAGAAAAATTTTCAAAACAAAAGAGGCTTTGAAGTGCTCTTTTTACTCTCTCCTCTTCTAACAGTTTAAAATTATATCATAAATATATAAGAATTAATGTGAAACAATTTAAAATTAAAAAGGGGATGTGGAAGCAATGTAATTGCATATTTCTAGGGGGAAATAAAATTGTTTATTTAAATAATATTTTAATTAAGATTACGGAAATGTTTTTAAAAAGGAAATATAAAAACAAGCACAGTACAAAAACGTATTTCATTTTTTTTTCTATAAGTATTCAATTAAAATATGTAAAAAATGATAATTAAGATCTTTATACATAAACTTACAACTAATTAAAGTAAAAGAATTTAATTAAATCAGTTTGAAGGACTATAAATTAGATAGCGATGAAGATAAAGGAATAAATTTATATGAATTGATATAAAACGATTATTATAAATCAAAATCATGTAAAACAATTTGTATACCTAACTTATATAAAGACGGTAAAAAGGATTTTGTACTTAAATAGATAATTTTTGAAAAACGGAAGAATATATTTTTTCAAATTCGTATACAAAATAAATAAATATACAAATGTAAATAAATATAAATACAAATATAAATAAATATAAATAAAATTATACACAAAATAAATTGAGTTAGACAAAATGGGTTTAAAAAGATTATGATTTGAATACAGAGGAGTATTATAAGCTTTGCTTATAAAAATTATATTAAAAATAAAATTATATTAAAAATAAAATTATATTAAAAATTATATTAAAAATTATATTAAAAATATTTTAAACTCTCTGACACAGCTAATTAATTAAAATTTTCTAAAATTTTGTAAATGCTGTGCGAATTTCTTTGAATCAATAATAAATATTAATAATAATATACAAACGGGTTCAAATATCAAAGAAATGACAGGGACAAAAATTTCAATAAATTAAATAAATTTTTGTCCATGTCTTTTCTTTGCTATTCGAATCCGCGCCTAAGTTTTAAAAAGTTTTTTTCATTATAAAGACTTTAAATATTAATAATAATATTGGGGTTTTAATACTGATTAATTTTTTTATTAAAAAATATCCGTGTACTTATTAATCATTGTTTTAATATAAATAACTTTAGAGATAAAATAATAACTTCTGCTTCAATGATTTGTTTTTATTTAAGATTCAATTTCATTATTTATTATTGTCATGCTTAAGATTAACAGTTTTACTTTTATATTATATTGTTAAAAATAAAGACATATTAGCGTAAGAAATTTTTGAAGTCCGCGAGACCAAAGAAAAATTTTGTTAAAATTCACATATGGTTGCACAATTAAAATTAAATTGAATACTCTTCTCCTATACTCTATCTAAATTTCATACTTTTTACATACATACCATATTCATATGTTATATTTAACATAAGATATATAAACAACAACAAACACTTGTACTCTTACCGCAAGGTAGAGTGAGTGCCTGTGTTTATGTAAAAAAAACCTGCTTTGCGGCGAGCGCCGTAAAATATGCAACACAATTTTGTACTTGTTACTTTTGCCGCTAGTTGTGAGTATAAATGCGGTTAATTTTATGCGTGCGAAAGTGGTTTTTGATGCCCCACAGAGGTTGGATTTATACTAAGTACAGATAGTATATAATATAGTACATATGCATTTTTTAATACAAACGTAGAAGGCAGTTTTTTCACGACAAGTGGGTAACATGAAACAAAATCCTTTAGTTTATTTTCTATTAGAAATATAAAAATTTATATTTCGAAATAACTTAAATTGGAAAATATTGTATTTATAAATAAAAAAAAAGGAAATTTTTAAAAAGATTTTTATTATCACTTAATCAGTAGTATTTTAAAATTTGTTATGTTTTCTTAAGTTAAAATTAAGGTACTATTGTCTTCATATCATTCCAATATCATATGGTTTAAAAAAATATTAAAAAAAAAAAAACTATTCCATATTATGGAAATGTCAAGGCTAAGTTATTCATTGCAATTTTAAACTAAACCCTAATGGACATTGTCAATTATAAATAAATAATTCAAATTTGCTGGTTGGTATAATCGGAGAAAATATTGCTAGTATCCACATCGCTAAGTTCAAGAAATAAATTTCTATAAAAATTTATGTCTACAAATTCTTTATATGAAATCTGTTTAAAGCAGCTTTCAAATCATAATTTAATAGACATAAAACAGCTGGACACATCTGCGAGTTGCAGTTTTATATCCGCAAAAGTTCTAAAAGATATTATGAAATACGTTGAAATACAAAATTTCAACTTCTGTAGCATATAAGTGAATGCAGTAAGGGAACAACTCAGTTAGAGATTGTATATGATTAAGACAAATTGCACATTATGAGCATGAAAATTGTTGCTTATGTTTCTTTAGATTTAATTTTAATAAATTTATAGAAGCTACTTATATAAAAAATTGTTCAAAAATCAGCAGAGAAATAAGTTGTTTCTTACATTGAAAATTAAATTCAGCTAATATTCTAGAGCTATATAAGAATATAATAAAAATATAATTTTATTATTACCTAAGAAAAAAAAAATGAATGAAATGTGATATCAAAACTTATGAATTTAAAATTCTACATAGTATAGTTGACCTGAGTTATTTTATAAAAATTGTGCCTGATATAAAAAGGGTTTTTTTTAACATTATACAAGCTATAACACCAAGGTGCAAGCAGCTTCTGAAATATTTTAATGCACTTTAGTGCACAGGTGTCCAGACAAGCCTCGCTTTCGTGAGAAAGCATAGCCAATGGAAATAATTCATCCACTGGTATAAATTTGTAGTTTTTGTGCTTACCTCTGTTTGTTTAAAATATCAGTAATACGAAAGAAAACATGCATGGACAAACCCTAATAGTTAAACCCTAATAGCTAATAGCTCACCAATAAACCAATAAAATTTCGTAAAGCCAACTATAACTTACGTTGCTGAAAATTGAACAATTTATGAAATGCATATAGCTTGGGAAATGCAGAAATTTATGTGCTAACATAGACAGATGTGTATATTTTACAATTAGACGTTACTATCAAAACTATAGAATAGCAATTCTAACTGAACCTGACAGCAATTAAGGCTCTCAATTCTCATCAGGTGACATTAAGACCAATGATAAATGGAGTGTCTTTAAAAACTCGCCAAAACAATCAGATAAGGATTCAATGTGTTTTGGGTTGCGTTAGACTTTCCAGCAAGAAAATTGCAGAAAAATTAGCCAAAAAAGAGTTAGCTTTGCAGTTTGTGGAACTATTCTGTGGCTGGAGAAGAGAACATTTCTTCTCACCCATTTAAAAATAAGAGGATAAACAAAGAAAATTATACTGGGACATTCTACCATTCGACTTGATAGAGACTTTCTACCTAACATACAACGTTTAGCGCATATATGTAATTCAGTAAGAATATTTTAAGAATTGATATAGGTATTCTAACAGAGGACTGCAGGCCACCAAACTTTGAAGTTATTTTAATGGAACTTTTAGGTTTCATAACGAAGAGATTGACACCTTATAAAGCATTTATCCCGTGTTCTATAACTTTGTAATGCTACTTTTTACTGATTTGCTATATTAACTATAATTTCTTTGCTATATATTAATTTGCTATATTCAACTTCTAATTGATTGGTTAATCCATAATGCTAGAAATAAGTTATATGTCTTTAATATCGGAAATAATTTTGAGGGCAAATTTGCATAACTGGTACTTGTTCCAGAAAAACGAGCTATTTAGTCTG